GTCAACAATCTTTGTATTCCAAATAATGTTTGCACATTATGTCATATGGTTTCCAAAATCTGTTTCAAAAGTGGCAAATATATATGTGGCAAATTTCTTCTATGCAAACTTCTTGTTTTTTGAGTAGATTTAGAATAGATCCACTGAAATCAATAAGACTTAATTCAGTTATAACTTATGTTAGTCCATTGATTTCAATTGGTTGACTCAGAAATTTCTCTAGATTCAATCCAGTGCATCTGCAGGCTACAGAAAAGAGGCAGATCTACGTGAACAGGAGATGGGTTTCTGTCCTTTGCAAGGAACATCCTGTCCTATTCTGGACTAAAAGCATGAAAGAAAACACTTGTAAAAACCTTCCTTTAGCTAAAAGAAGAAACATGCAGGAACTCCTATTGATCTTCTGAATCTCCACTGGTCCCATCACCTCCTGGGAAATAGAAGGGGAAGATATGGAGGCAGTGACAGATTTTACCTTCTTGGGCTCTATGATCACTGCAGATGGTGACAGCAGCCACGAAATTAAAACACACCTGCTTCTTTGGAGGAAAGTGATGACAAACCTAGACAGCATCTTAAAAAGCAGAGACATCACCTTGCCAACAAAAGTCCGCATGGTCAAAGCTATGGTTTTTCCAGTAGCCATGTGTGGAAATGAGAGCTCACTGGTGAAGAATTGATGCTTTTGAATTGTGGTGCTGGAGGAGACTTTTGAGAATCCCCTGGACTGCAAGGAGAACAAACCTATCCATTTTGTAGGAAATCAACCCCGAGTGCTCACTCGAAGGACAGATCCTGAAGCTGAGGCTCCAATGCTTTGGCCATCTCGTGAGAAGAGAAGACTCACTGGAAAAGACCCTGGTGTTGGGAAAGAGTGAAGGCAAGAGGAGAAGGGGATGAGAGAGGACGAGATGGTTGGACAGTGTCACCGAAGTTACCAACATGAATTTGACCAAACTCCAGGTGCCAGAGCACACCAGGAGGGCCTGGCGTGCTCTGGTCCATGGGGTCACGAAGAGTCAGACACAACTTGATGACTAAACAACAACAAATTTTATTTATTTAAATTTTCTCTTGGAAGAAAAGAAAGAACCTTGAAAGCACCCAAGAATGTTTGGTTTAAATTCTGAAACATTAGTCTTTTTGAAATCCAAATTGGGAAAAAACCATGTGGTTAAATAAATATACAGTAATATGAAAAAGAAAGTGCACTCTGTTTGAATTCTATGGCTTTACATATCATCCAGTCCTTAGCAGGTCTCAAAATTAAGTAAATGAAACCTTAGATGAACAACAACACATGACATATTCCACTGTTATTTTACAAACTGGAGAAGCCATGTGTGAAAAATTAAGTATATTTTTACTGCTTCCATAGGAATTAAAAGGCCAAGTAGCAGCCATGTGCTGCTAACCAAATGCCCTTGAGAATTGATAATCAGCAATATGACCACCTCTATAAAAGTCGAATTTTAGCAGTTTACAGGTCTGGAGTATTCAGGTGTGTGTTTACATAATGTCAAGGAGGAAACACACCAGTAATTATTGTAGAAAAGCAATTATTGCTGCCCATCAATCTGGGAAGGGTTATAACACCATTTCCAATTTAAATCCATCATTTTACATTGAGGAAAATTATTCTTAAGTGGGAAACATTCAAGACAGTTGCCAAAATTTGAGTGAACGTCAAAGCTAATTCACTCCAAGGTCATATCATGCAATGCTCATAAAAATTGCAAAAAAACAAAAAAACAAAAAACAAGAGTTACATCTGAGGGACTACAGGCCTCAGTTAGCATGTTAAATATTCAAGTTCATGGCAGGACAATTAGAAAAAGACTGAACAAGAATGATTCAGTTGGAAGAGTTTCCAGGAGAAAGCCTCTTCTCTCTGAAAAAAACATGGCAGCACAGTTAGGTCTGCAAATTTGCATCTGGACAAACCACAAGACTTCTGGAACAATGTCTTTTGGACAGATGAGGCGAAAGTGGATATGTTTGGCCATAACGCACAGCACCATGTTTGGTGAAAACCAAACACAGAATATCAGCATAGGTGATAAAAAAACACCTACTACCAGCTGTCAAGCAAATTTGTGAAGACGTGATGATTTGGGCTTGTTTTGCAGCCACAGGACCTGAGCACCTTGCAGTCATTGAGTTGACCATGAACTCCTCTGTACACTGAAGTATTCTAGAGTCAAAGATGAGGCCATTTGTTTGACCGCTAAAACTTGGCTGAAATTGAGTCATGCAAGAGGACAATGATCCCAAGCACACTAGCCAATCTACAACGGCAAAAAGAATCAAGGTGTTGCAATGGTCCAGTCAAAGTCCAGACATCCACCTGATTGAAATGCTGTGGTGGGACATTCAGAGAGCTGTGTATAAACAATTGCCTAGAAACTTCGGTGAACTAAAGCAACACTGGAAAGAAGGGTGGGCCAAAATTTATTCATGTGAGAGACTGAAAAAGTCATACAGAAAAAGATTGCTTCAAGTTATTGCTGCTAACGGTAGTTCTACGAGCTATTGAATCATAAGGTGTACTTAGTTTTTCACATATGGCATCTCCATTTTGGCTTCATTTTTGTAAAATAAATCATTACACGGTGCAATATGTTATGTGGTGTACATCTGGAGGTTGTATTTACCTAATTTTCAGACCTGCTAAGGACCAGATGATTTTTATTACGTCCTGATAAGTAAAGCCATTGAATTTAAGGAGAATGCAGTTTCTTTTTCACATGAATATAGGTGCATCACCTCCTGGCAAATAGAAGGGGAGGATATAGATGCAGTAACAGATTTACATTCTTGGGCTCCATGATCACTGCAGATGGTGACAGCGGCCACAAAATTAAAAGATGCCTGCTTCGTGGGCAATGGTAAACCTAGACAGCATCTTTAAATGCACGGACATCACCTTGCCGACAAAGGTCCACATAGTCAAGCTATGGTTTTTCCAGTAGCCATGTATGGAAGTGAGAACTGGACCATAAAGAAGGCTGACTGCCAAAGA